CTGTTTTGCTGCATCTGGTCCAGGATGGCTTGCCATCATTGATGGAACAATGATTTCTGAATTATACCAGCAAATTCTGAAGGAAAATGTCAGGGCATCTGTCCGAGAACTGAGTCTCACAAGAAAGTGGGTCACGCAGCAAGACAATGACCCCAAACACACAAGTCGTTCTTCCAAAGAATGGTTATAGAAGAACAAAGTTAATGTTTTGGAAAAATATGGACCTTCATCCAAATTGTCTGCGTGAGTCTATACCACTGTCTATACCAGCTGGTGGCAGTAGTCTACTTACGTCATTGAAAAAGGGAAATCGAAACTACAAATGCAGATATACAAACCATAAACAAAGCAGTGCTTGCTTACATTTTAAATCATGCTGATCAGTTGGTGTTCTGTTTCTTCATTCCAGATGGTCATGTCATTATGGAATTCTCAGGTAACTGATTTGCTAAGCTAAACAGCCAATCAGAGTGATCTCTCTCACCCATTGCCTGACGCCGATTCAACATGCTTAATCGCCCAAACAACCGCCAATAGGGTTCGACTAATGCGAAACACACCTGAAAAACTTGACTGACAGACGCTCAATGATGGCCCAACTTTGGCCACAATCACAATCTTTAGTCAATTTTACAATCCAAAACATGTCCAACTAAACCTCAGAATAAAATGCTAGCTAGACCAAATACATCCCTAAACAGAGAATATGAATTGGCAGAATACAGGAGCACTGATCATAAACTAAGAAAAGTCTTGACCATATACAGTACAGACTCTTAACTGTGTTAATGTTACTAATGGTTTGGCGATGTAAAGCATTTTACCATGCCATAAAAGTTACTTAAATCTTGAATATAGCTTAAAGGAACACTCCACTATTTTTGAAAATAGGCTCATTTTCCAACTCCCCTAGAGTTAAACATTTGAGTTTTACCGTTTTCGAATCCATTCAGCCGATCTCCGGGTCTGGCGATAGCACTTTTTCTATGCAGCTTAGCATAGATCATTGAATCTGAGTAGACCCGGAGATCGGCTGAATGGATTCGAAAACGGTAAAACTCAAATGTTTAACTCTAGGGGAGTTGGAAAATGAGCCTATTTTCAAAAATAGTGGAGTGTTCCTTTAAGACTAAAAAAAAATTAAATAAAAATAAAAATCATGCAATGTTATTTATTATATTTTCTCATCAGTCATATTGAAAACAGTGAGGTTAAATTAAAATTATTACAGCAATAAAGCAGATTTGGTTCATAAGTGTATGTGCTGTAGAGGCTAAGATAGTTTATGGCGTGTCAGCATCACATGGCAGTGCTGTCTGGAAGGGTGATCACTCACAACAAAAAACCAAATCAGGCGTCCAAAGGGAACAGTAGAAGATAAAGCCTCCCTGGGCATGACTGCCAAGCATTCTCTCTCTCAGTCTCTGAAAGGGGATTGTCCAAAGGCTAAAGGAGCCGGACTGGCTACCTTTATTGGCCCCCTTGCTTAATTCCTGTTTATAAATTGCATGGTTAGTGAGTGCAAATCCGGTTACATCACAGAAAACCCAGATTCTGCTGTATCCCAAACTGCACTCGACTGCAATCAAACGCACGCAAGGATATGTTGTGACAGTGATGTCTGTCCCCAGGCAAGAACAGTGAACAGCGTTACATCACATAACCCAGTATGCAGCCAACAACTCTTTCACACAACTCACTGTCCCCAGTTCTTGTCCAAACTGAAAGATACATCTCCCTCTGACCCCAGACCTGCCCTTCCATCTCACCATCAATATTGTAGGCACAGACAGCTGTTTATCATTCTGTTTAAAAACACTGTTGGTGTGAAAGTATTTACAGGTCACATGGCATATGTAAAAAGTCATATGATCATTCTTCAATGTACTATAATCTCCAAGAAACACTTTATACGTGGCCGCTCTCCAGTATAAGGGCCTTTCCCTACCATAAATGCTTATACAATTTCCACTGTACAAGTCTGTGGTGCAGTGCGGCTCTGATACGGCCACTGAAGCTGATTGCGGCCACTCTAGTCAATGCTTGTGTTTATTCCAGCCGCGCCACGCACGTTTCTAAAGCGGCTCACTGTGCTGCTTCTGTAAAGATACATGCGTACGCCTCCTTTGAATAAATATAGCCAAAATCCGTTAAAATCCCACCAAAATCCGTTGCCATGACTTATCGCTCAACTATTTGGTATGAAGAGCACTGATTCCTCAATAAAACTCCAGACAGCATGTGCTCACATGCAGTAAACAGAGTGTAGTACACAGGTATCCAGCAAGGAGAGTCATGAGAGGGTGTAGGAGGCTCACTAGACCATAATAACTCTCACTGGATTATGTAAACCTGGAAACGCGCCTACTTATATTCTAAGAAGTTTTCTCTTATTCTTGGGGACCTATCAATCTGTCAAAGTATGTGTTCATCCAAACCTGTGATGTGTCATTCATTATCAGCAGCGGCATGCTTTGAAAGATAGACACAAACACTTTAAGATTGAAACATTGACTCTAATCCCAATGACCTTGAGGCTATCAGCATATTCGAATATGGGATGTGATTATGACCTTTTGTTTTATTCTGAGAAGGCGAGGAACACATAAACTTATTCCACATCTTTGCAGTTAAAGATTCATTCACTGCTGAAGGCTTTGTGTTCTCTGATCCCTAATTATCTTAACCAATGTTTCAAATCACTGACAGCAGTCTGAATTGTGATGAGGGGCTGGTGCAGGCCGGTACAGACCAAACTGATGCAGCCTCTGTAAATGAATGATTCACCGATGTCATCAGGGTCCTGAAAGGGCAACCTATTTCTGATGTCAGTGCATAAGACAGCCATATGAAGTGCTTACTCACCCTCACGTTGTTCCAAACCAGTAATCATTTCTTTCTAAACAGGGGAAATGTTGAAGAACTCTTTTTTTTAATTTGGTTTTGTTACTTTAGCATAATAAATTAATATGAGATCTGCGTGCAAACGGAGTAAGAATCTTTCAGAATGTCATTTTGATTCATTTCTGTTTTTGCTGACAGTAGCCAATACCTCAATTTTAATACTGAGTCACCCCAGTTTTTGTAAGGTTGCCACTATCTTTTGGTAGGCCTATATGGAAATATGTAATGTTGGCATTCTGCTAATATTGTGCTAATTTTTTTGCCTCTTGCATTGGCAAATGGAATTGCAAATATAATGATTTTTTAAAAATATATTCATTCAAAACATCTTCATTATTTTAGTTTAAATTATGATATATACAACTGGATATATAATTAAGTGTTGCTAATTTTTGTTATTAGCTTGTAGCATAGTTATCTATACTTCAAAACAGTAGCTTTAGTTAAGTTTAATCACTGTATGCCTAGCTTGTAGCAGCTTCCCCAATACCAAAATGCGGGCCATAGCTAACCTTAGGAGCCCAGATTACTTGTTTTTCTTCGTCATCTGGGCATGTAAACAGGTTGACAGTGCCTGGATCTTCAGTGCCCCTAGAAACAGAATACAGAAATCCAGATGGTAATAAGATTAATAATCACACGTGTTACAGGCCCACTGCCAACTATTTAGAGCCTTTTATTTTGATAACATAACACCCTTGATGCAAGCATCTGTTGGTGGAAATGTTGACCCCATGGACACACAAAACATATACATGCAGAGCTCACGGCATGACAGGAATGGAGAGAAAAACAGACAGATGATTAGCGAGGGGTAGAGAGAGGAAAAGAGATGGATTTCTGCAACATGACACACAATGACACACAACCCCCCATAACTTGTAACTGTATCACACCCAAGTATTTCTCAAGTATTTCTCTCCTGTAAATATCCAAAGTGTGGCATACGTTCAGAGTCCCCTCTGTGGACATGCTCAACGAAATAACAGCACCATTCTCAGAGCTAGAACCTCACAAAAACATATTGTGGTGGGACAATTGTACATTGATGTTTATATGGTACTGAATGATTATCACATGGACTACCACTGGATATGGTAGTCCAACAAATTATTAAAGTTACTACCATAAAGTTTCTTTGAACTCTTTTTGACCAATGGATTTCCTTTGGCCGATTTCACTTTGTATGTCAGGTACCAGTCTTTGGAATTAACAGATTTAAATGTTGCTCGAAATTACTAAATATTTAGTAAAAAATACTAAATAATGAAAAACACTTACATTTTAACAGCCTAATAATATGTGTATATAGTTATATATTTTATCAAGAGAATTAATATAATCCTTCAGGTCTCTACACTGTATAGTGTATAGACGCGCATGTGTATACTTAAAGTCAACATAAACTAAATTCGTTATTCGAGCGTAATGTACAGTATTGGAATGGGAAACCTTATGAACTTATTAAATCATGGAAATTGATCTTCTTATGTATTTGGAATGAAGTGGTTAAAAAAAATAAGGGGACTTGGTAACCAAAGCCAATTGGAATAATGAACTGATCACAATAAGATCACGTGCACTGTGTCAGACTAATTTATTATGAGAACTAATCATAAGTCATGCGATATGAAAAGGTGTGTCTGTTAAATTAATAGTTAGTCTGAACCTTGCTACTTCAGAACAGCATATTCAGCTGAAGTAATGTTTTGCATATGGTCATGTTGTACTAAAGCAGAAATGTAATTTTCCCTTTTATTTGATTCACCTCTAACTCAAACAGCAGTCAATCTGCTGCTGTCTATAAAAGAGGAAATTATAATGATCTTAGTTTGTGTATGTGCACCGAACACCCAAGTAGTTTGAATGACAGAAAGAAAAATGGGTAAAAAAGTGTGAGAAATAAGGAGAGATTGAAGGAGCAGGAGAGACAGTTGAGCATGAGAGAGAGAGAGAGAGCTTGTAGAGTGACCTGTAATAGGACTAGAGTTGGCGCTGACTAACAGAACCATACACAGAAGAAACTCCACCCCTTCTCTCTCAACCTATAACAGCCCACTATGGAGGCCGAGTCCAGAAACAGATGAGTGTTCTTCCACACCACTACCGCTCTGGACACCCTCTGGCTGTCTCTGTCGACCTGCTTTTAACCTCTCCATACTGGATACTGTCTTTTTGGATACTTTCTCTCACTTCTTTGACACTTTTGCATGGATTACTGACTTTAAAAAATGCATTCCCAGCTGTTGTTGGATGAATTCAGCCATGGTAAGTTACCTGTTTCACTTGTTTGAACCTTACTACTTAATTTGTAACACTTACTAATAAGGTGACTCTTATAAGATCGCTGACAAAGTTTCAGAGACCTTTCTCCTGGTGTCCTTCTCTCTTTGAGGACATAGACACTGAATGTTTGGGATGATTTATGATGAAAGGTTGGGAAGGATCCCAGAAAGAGGGTGCACATGGACAGCTTCAGAATTTAGGGGTGACAGGAAGGTCCTGGCATGGCTCACTTGTGCATAGCGAAACTTCAAAACTGTCATAACCAGGAGTGCATCAGTGACCCCTAAACCAGCACAGTTACAATTTACAGCACAGCTTCATCCAAACATAATTAAGTGAATGGCTGTGGCCCTGTGTACATTGTAATGTAATAATAGGGCACAAAAATCAACTATTTGGTATGAAGAGCACTGATTCCTCAATAAAACTCCAGACAGCATGTGCTCACATGCAGTAAACAGAGTGTAGTACACAGGTATCCAGCAAGGAGAGTCATGAGAGGGTGTAGGAGGCTCACTAGACCATAATAACTCTCACTGGATTATGTAAACTATAGATCATGGAACATTCCTCAACGGCTTTATTGTTTTGATCAGTAGTTTCTCTGTGATGTCTGCGACAACTAAGGTAAATCTCTCTGAAGGATGGAGATGTCAATCATCAGAATGTTATGTAATTAACTGTGATGGTTGTAGTGGTAGCCTACTGGTTAATGATATGGGCTTGTGACCCAGGAACTATAGAGGCCATTGTGTCCTTGATTTCCCCCAAGGGAACTCCTGTACTGGAAGTTGTTTTGCATTAAAAAAAAGCATGTTAAATGGTGTGTAAATGTTTAAAACAGTGGTGTTAAACTCAGTTCCTGGAGGGCCGGAGCCCTGCAGAGTTTTTTTCCAACCCTGCTCCAACACACACACACCATGTAGTTTTCAAGTAAGCCTGGAGGATTTGATTAGTTGCATCAGATGTGTTTTATTAGGGTTGAATCTAAACTCTGCACACCTCCTTTATTTTGGTCTTGTGTTCATATTGTGGATAGATCATCTTGGCTGCATGATTTGTCTAAATCATCACAAAATGTAAACTCTATTATCGCATAGCTCTTATATATAAAGTTGGATATATGTTACATTTAACCTAACCTGCATACATGCAATACATTCATGTATACTAAATTACAAATATCAACTGCCTGACCTTTTATTCCCTCATAAAATATAACTATATTATCAGCTATTATACAACATATCTCAACTGTTTGATTGCCAGAGGTGTAAAGTATTGGAGTAAATGTATTTAGTTACTGTACTTGAGTATCTTTTTGAATACTTTGTAGTTGTACTGAGTATCAAAGATATTAGCAACTTTTACTCTCTACTTCTCTACATTTTTGAATGAGTATCTGTACTCTTTACTCCACTACATTTGAAATGAGTATTGCAGTTACACATTACATTTTGCATGGACCTAGTTTTTTCTGCAGCAGTTTATTTCTGCTACAAAAGACGTGATACTGCCTATTACAGGTCACTGAAAGTACTGCGTTTTGCCCTAACTCACCCAAACTTGTCAACAAGGCTACTTTATGTGAATGCGAGTTCCTTAGCAAGTATTTGTGAATCAGAGGTGTTTTAACATGCAGTAAACAGAGTGTAGTACACAGGTATCCAGCAAGGAGAGTCATGAGAGGGTGTAGGAGGCTCACTAGACCATAATAACTCTCACTGGATTATGTAAACTATAGATCATGGAACATTCCTCAACGGCTTTATTGTTTTGATCAGTAGTTTCTCTGTGATGTCTGCGACAACTAAGGTAAATCTCTCTGAAGGATGGAGATGTCAATCATCAGAATGTTATGTAATTAACTGTGATGGTTGTAGTGGTAGCCTACTGGTTAATGATATGGGCTTGTGACCCAGGAACTATAGAGGCCATTGTGTCCTTGATTTCCCCCAAGGGAACTCCTGTACTGGAAGTTGTTTTGCATTAAAAAAAAGCATGTTAAATGGTGTGTAAATGTTTCAAACAGTGGTGTTAAACTCAGTTCCTGGAGGGCCGGAGCCCTGCAGAGTTTTTTTCCAACCCTGCTCCAACACACACACACCATGTAGTTTTCAAGTAAGCCTGGAGGATTTGATTAGTTGCATCAGATGTGTTTAATTAGGGTTGAATCTAAACTCTGCACACCTCCTTTATTTTGGTCTTGTGTTCATATTGTGGATAGATCATCTTGGCTGCATGATTTGTCTAAATCATCACAAAATGTAAACTCTATTATCCCATAGCTCTTATATATAAAGTTGGATATATGTTACATTTAACCTAAAAAACAGTGGTGTTAAACTCAGTTCCTGGAGGGCCGGAGCCCTGCAGAGTTTTTTTCCAACCCTGCTCCAACACACACACACCATGTAGTTTTCAAGTAAGCCTGGAGGATTTGATTAGTTGCATCAGATGTGTTTTATTAGGGTTGAATCTAAACTCTGCACACCTCCTTTATTTTGGTCTTGTGTTCATATTGTGGATAGATCATCTTGGCTGCATGATTTGTCTAAATCATCACAAAATGTAAACTCTATTATCGCATAGCTCTTATATATAAAGTTGGATATATGTTACATTTAACCTAACCTGCATACATGCAATACATTCATGTATACTAAATTACAAATATCAACTGCCTGACCTTTTATTCCCTCATAAAATATAACTATATTATCAGCTATTATACAACATATCTCAACTGTTTGATTGCCAGAGGTGTAAAGTATTGGAGTAAATGTATTTAGTTACTGTACTTGAGTATCTTTTTGAATACTTTGTAGTTGTACTGAGTATCAAAGATATTAGCAACTTTTACTCTCTACTTCTCTACATTTTTGAATGAGTATCTGTACTCTTTACTCCACTACATTTGAAATGAGTATTGCAGTTACACATTACATTTTGCATGGACCTAGTTTTTTCTGCAGCAGTTTATTTCTGCTACAAAAGACGTGATACTGCCTATTACAGGTCACTGAAAGTACTGCGTTTTGCCCTAACTCACCCAAACTTGTCAACAAGGCTACTTTATGTGAATGCGAGTTCCTTAGCAAGTATTTGTGAATCAGAGGTGTTTTATATATGAGATGAGGACATGACTGCAGCCGGCAATGAGGCCCAAACCAGCACATCCACTGCTAGAAGGCTTCTGCTTTTTAATTTTACTTAACATTATTTTATTCATCCATTATACTGAAGAGACCTTTTTGAAGTACATTTTATTTTATTTTTTTTGCAATTTTGAGGTGTTCAGTTTTATTTGGTTTTAGAAAATAAACGTGATTGCTCTCCTCACAAATCAACTCTTTCTTGTTTTTGTTTCATGTTCTCTGTGCCTTGCCCTGGACTTTTATGTCACTTCCTGTCTCCCGTGGTGTTTGTAGTCAGTTTGTAGTCCGTTTGTTCATTGGTTTCCCTTGGTTAGTCTCCTCAGGTGTGTCTTGTCTTGTTAAGGCCTGTTCACACCAAGCACGATAACTATAAAGATAACGATAAAGATATAGTTCTAAAAAATCGTTCTCAATATTAAAGAATAGAAGAGTCCACGCCACAACTATAACGATAAAGGCACAGAGAAACTATATAGTTGGAATCATTTTCAGAACGATTTTTTGATGAATGATAAAAACATTGACAGCCAATCAGAATCAATCCTGCTATCACGAGTTTGAGAATTTAAAGCGGCAGACGAGTGTACGCTTAGAATAATCAGATGATATCGTCTGCTGGTGTGGACGATAATATATCGTTATCTTTATAGTTATCGTTCTTGGTGTGAACAGTGCTTTAAGCTTGTTAGCCCCCTGTGTGTATATATAGCCTTGTTTTTTTTTTAGTTCCTTGTGAGTTGTTGAATGTAGGCCTAATGGTTGTCTGTTTGCCAGTCATTCTGTTCTTTGTTCCCTTTGGTTTTTGTTTTTTGGCTTATTGTTTGTTCTAGTTTTTCCATTAAATACCTGCACATAGATCCTTGCCTCTGCATGTTTTCCGCAGCTTCTCCACAACGTTACAGTTTTTCACTGTCAAATCTCTTTGACTAGTGCATCTTTGAGCCTATATTTAGTATAAGTAAAATACTTAAGTACTGTTAAAATCAGATACTCTAAGACTTCTACTCTAGTGGTTTTGGAATTGGTGACTTGTAACGTGTAGTGGAGTAATTTTCACTGTAAAGTATCTGTACTTTTACTCAAGTATGGTTTTTAGGTACTCTTTACACCTCTGTTGATTGCTTGTATTAAAGTATATTATGGCCAAGCTCTAATCTGCAAATGTGACTATAAGGCATGAAGATATTAAGATATAAACCTCAACATTATGATATCATGAAACAGTGAGTACGTTTATATGGACAACAATAATCCGATATTAATAAGATTAAGACAATACTCTGATTAAGAATCTACCATGTAAACGGAGATTTTTGATTACCTTAATCCGGCTAGTAATATTCGAAGTAAACAGAAATCGAATTAAGACGTGTGGAGTATTCCTATTTTAGTCGCATTACTGAAGTGCAGTATAGATATGTAAACACCTTAATCACATTGTTACCGTCATGTAGGACTTTTCGCCGCATTTTGCGACAGGATACACACATGGCAGTGGTCAACCGTTTGACGGCAAATAAAGAGCTTCAACACCGCCATCGTCTGTATGCACGTACAAATAATTAACTGCACTTGCAGCTTTCATAAAATTAAAAATGAAACACCCAAAACTGTACATGGCATCATCACGAAGATGAACTATATGTTTATACGGGAAATTCCGGAAGGGACGTCGGATGGCGTCACGTGGGACGTAATGACGTGTGCCATTAATCGAACTATGTACTATAACATGTAAAACGGGAACATGAAAGGAATATTCTAAAAGCAACTCATGTAAACACCACACTCTAAAAAATGCAATCACATGTACAAACTACTAAC